GAGCACAGTGCCGCACGAGAGCGTGTTAATGTCTTAGCCTCTACAGCGGCGCGTCTTGCAAAATGATTCTCCACCACCTTTTGTGCTTTTTAAGAAAGCAAAAGTTTTATCATGCTAGTTGTTTTAGAAAGTGGGCCCCGAAATGTTGTTTGGAAACGCCTTGTGAGAAGCAGGAGTTGGGAATGGTGTTACAATACCCTATGCTTGTGGGTCTTTTGCCTGAGAGGTTTTTTCCCCGTGAGGAATGCAGTAATTTGTCCCGAGTGGCAGTTTGCTAAGCTGCTGTCCTCTGGAAGCACTAGCCAGATGCAGAATTATGGCGTTGTCCCTCGTGAGGTGAACCTGAAGCATGGGCAGTGCCTTTGGCCAGCACACGAGAACGCGGAGGGCTTTTGGCAGGGCTAGCAGGCCGTGTTTACCTCCCGGTTTTCACATTCATTTTCAAGAACAGGCGCTGCTTCACTGTGAAAAAAGCATTTAGTGGCTTTTTATGGTAGTGAAACAGAGAAAGTCAGGCCTGCTTTTGCAGCGGTGCGTGTGGAGCGCTGTAGTAAACAAAGTCACTTTGCAGTTTGGAAATTGCTGATTTTCATGTGGGACAGTAGTTCTAGCATTATGAAGGCATTTGGTGCCGTGGTATTGGTGGGGTTTGTTTCATGTGTGGATGTATGGCGTTTTAAAACTATTCTGCTGCTCTGTAAAGGTGCAGATAATTTGACTGGTGAATTACCAGTTCAAAGCTCCGTGATACTAAGAAAAAGAAATAACCTGTATTTTTGGTTAGGCTTCAGCAGGGACAAGGTTTTTCTCAGTGCAAGGTTTTGAACTTGAAATTCCAAAGATGTGGATTGAGCATTCTGGTCCTGCAGCATACCTCCATGTGACACTGGCCTGTTCCCTTTCCTTGCTGAGCTTTGCCTCTTAAAATTAAATGGTCCTCCTTAGTTTAAGAGTCCTTCTCAAAGTAAGAGTTGGTGAGTTTAACCCCTGAGTTTCCCCAGGGAGTAAGGATTACTTAGCAAGCCATGTATGTCATGCAAACTTCAGCCTAAGTACAGCTTGTAGGGTAAGGAAGACATTGTTCATTTGGGTGTGTTGGCTTGGATATCATTACAACTGTAGCTTCTTTAGCCCCACCCAAATATGACATTGCTTGTTAGGCAGAAACTTGTTTATTTTAAAAAAAGTCTAAAAATTGGCAGGTTTTAATTTAAAAGGTGGATCACAATTCCTGAGCGAGCCTTGGTGGTTTGCTTCATGTTTTTCCCCTAAATGTTTGGGCAAGAAAATAGTGTGACGAAGGACTAATGTTGGTCTGGATCTTTCTCAAGAGGAGTAAACAGGTCTTTCAGATGAGTGGAAGACTGTATTTAAGATCCTTTAGATGTGTTAGTGTAGAAGGTAATGCCCATGGGGAGTTATTATTTAAAAAAAGACTTATGGAGGGCGTAGAGAGGGAAGAAGGCCAGCCAGCTCAGTGGCACAGCGTATTCTTATGCTATTTTAAGTAAGTGTGCAACGAGGTGCCTCCTTGTCAGGGAGCGTGCGTCGGACTGCGAGGACTGGCGTGGATGAGCGCACCCTTTGGTCACTGACCGCTGCCTGCAGCTCATCGGGGTGCACGTGGCACCCGTCGGGACCCCTGCCCAGGAAAGTGGCCAAGAGCAGCACAGTGGGATGGAGCAGGGTGGCTGTCCCAGGGACTCGGGTCCAGCGTGGTGACGCTGACTTAGTTTTGGTGTACATCAAAATAAAAACCACTTGTTCTACCTGAACAGCAGCTTTCAGAGAAAATAAAAAAAATATTGCTTACCTTGGTCCTCCTTTGAAAGCTGACCCTGTAATTTTAACACGGATTGCTAATGTATTGTGTGCTCTGACACGTTGGTTTCCTACAAAATTGTAAGAGTTTGCGCTTGTACAAAATACAGTTTGATTGAAATGCTGCGTAAAAATGTGAATAATAAGAGTCAAATGATGTACAGTGACTTTTTGTAAAGGTATAGTTTTTCAGATAATCTAGCCACAAATTTAGAAGAAAAACTTCAATTCCAGCTTACCTTCGATAGAGTTTTACAGTGTTCGGGTCGGTATCTCTCCCTGAGCAGCTCCACATTCCGTTGATGTCTTTCGCCTAATGTTTCAGGGATAAGACGTATTGGCAGGAGGCCTGATCAGCAGCAGCAGCAGCAGCAGCAGCAGGGTGAAGGCAAGCCTATTGACAGGAGACCGGAGAGACGACCTCCTCGTGAGCGCCGCTTTGAGAAACCTGCTGATGAGAAAGGCGAAGGAGGAGAATTTTCTGTCGATAAGTAAGAATTTTTGTCTTGCGTGACAAAGAACTTTTGGAGCTTTGATAGGAAGGGGTTGCCCTGCCTTCTGCTGCTAGGTTAAGAAACAAACAGCTGATCGAATCAAAATTAAATCGATTTAACTAAATTTTTGTCAGTCACAAGAAGAGCATGTGTCATGCAGACTGTAACACTTTTCTTTCCTTTTCCCTGGTTTTGTTTACAAACTCGACTCAAGTTTTAGACTGGGAGTGGTCTAACATGAACAGTTCCATTGGTGTAATTGAAAATACAGTTTAAATCATGAAGATATCCACCATATCTGACTCTGTAGCAGGTAGGAAAGGAACTCAAGTATAGCTGTTGCTTGCAGGATGAGATTTCTTTGCTGTTACAGTGACTTGAAGCCGAGGGAAATTTGTCCGTGTAGGTGTTTCCGCCTTGGCTGCAGTGGCTTCAGATCTGGAAGTGGTGGAGCCATCTTACGTCTAGGCAAGATTTAAAGTGTCCCGAGTACCAAGAGGGATCCAGAATTCAAATGTTCCGAACTGATGTTCAAATATTAAAATTCTAGTAGCCAAAGTTAAAATCCTTTGAAAAGTAAGCTGGACAAACGTGAGTTAAATTGAAACCGTAGTATGAGCTAGTTGTGTAAAACAATACAAGCACGGACTTTTGGAATTTAATGCCAGAAAATGCAAACAAACAGTCATCCTGAGCATTCATTTCTAAATTCTAAAATGCGGGCATTATATATGTGGGGCTTTTCAGTGCAATAATTTGGCATTGAAATTAGAGCCTCGACACAGTTACAAACAGTAATTACCAAAGGAAAAATAAGGAGATAAAATTCTCTGAAGAGCAATAGAAAACCTGAAAAACCATGCTGTAAATTTTTGGCGGTGAAATACTCACTTTTGGCTGTTCCATGCTAGACCCATTCTTGACCGACCTATGCGTGGACGTGGTGGACTTGGAAGAGGACGTGGGCGCGGCCGTGGAATGGGCAGAGGAGATGGGTTTGACTCTCGTGGCAAACGTGAATTTGACAGACATAGTGGCAGCGATAGATCGTAAGTCTTCAACTTTTTCTGTTGGTTTTTGGCTTTTCTTTACAATTAATACAAGTTTTATAATTTGTCTTTGAATTGCTGTATCTGGACACTATAATGTTAACTCAGTTTTGTTAGTTCTGTTTCACATTCACATTTCAGCGGCCTAAAGCATGAGGACAAGCGTGGTGGCAGTGGATCACACAACTGGGGAACCGTCAAAGACGAGCTAACGTTAGTAATCTGTAATTGCTCAGAAAACTATTAGCAGAATGTTAATAAATCCTAGTTCTTATGGCTTGCAAAATGTAAAGATTTAGCTGCCTTCTTTATCTTTGATTTTGCTGATTTTTGCTACACTGTTAAAGCAGCCTTTGCAGGGTTTAGAAAGTTAGCAATTTTTTGTAATGTAGAGAAGGCTTCACTGTTACAATTTTAGGGAAGTTTGGAATGGGGGGGGTGTCGTGCTGGTTTTTGAAGAATTATTTTACTAAAAATAGAACAATTTATTTTTCTATTTTCATCAGTTTAAGCATGCTTTTTTACAAGTACTACATTGAACTCGGTATTTTTAATACCCAAATCCATTTTGTGTCTTGAGTTGCTTGCAGAATTGATACTAATAAGTGTTGGGCAAGGTGGAAAGTGTAGAATTTAGAAGGCACAGAGCACCAATCCGTAGTGAAAGAGTTCTTTTTAAAGAAGAGTGGGTTGTGTAAACCCACTATAGAACTTAGTCATTAATCTAATGTAGCTTTAAGTAGGGATGAACTTTTAAAAAACAGAACTCCAAACCTTGTGTAATTGCAGTGAATTGGATCAGTCAGCTGTAACTGAGGAAACGCCAGAGGGAGAGGAACATCCACCTGCTGATTCTGAAAATAAGTGAGTACCGCCCCTCGCAGGGTGCTGTGATTGCTTCAGAGGTAGTATTCCTTTGCCTTTAACCTCTGATACTTGGTCCTGCTTCCGTTTTGCCAAACTCAGATTATATTTTCTTCAGTAGATAGGAACTGTCATCTTAAAAACTGCATGCCTAAAAATTGTTGTTCGTTAGTGTCACACAGGCTCTTAGGTCACTTTCAGATGTAGTTATTAATAATCAAGTGTAATAGGCTTAGGGTCTTGGGATTGCAATGCCTAAGTACCAAAGGCAAAAGCATCCATGCTCATGACTAGGTAGAACAAGCAAAAGGGACAAAATGGTCTTCTGCCAGTGGAAGGCAACTTTTTTAAACTTAGTTTGTCCAAACAGCTGTTGAGGCTGTGACTAGCCTGTGGAAGAAAGGTTGTGTATCTTTGGTTCTCCAGCTTCTGTGCATGCAGGCAATTTTCAAAGAAGTTAACTTGATTTTTTTCCATTCCACTTGGAAACTTATAGAAGAAACCAGTGAGGGCA